GTTTTTTTTTTTTTTTTTTGGTTGGGAAATTAATATAGTACATTATATAACCAGCTAAAAATAATAACAAATTAGTGTTAGCAAGCAGAGTTTATATAGCACTGCAATAAGCTGGGCATAGCTAGGAATTGAACTTGTATTTCTTCATGTCCTTTTAAGTCTTTGTACTAGAAATAGAACTGGTTTATGCAACTTCTTTTAATAAATATTAATATTGTACCAAATCTCCAAAGAGTTGGGTACAGATGAATCTATCGAAAAGGAAAGCATGTGTGGAATGATAGAGGGTAATTTAATCATTTCAGTATTTTATCCATGTATTATGAATACATGTATTAGTTATCCATCTTCTACCCCGCATAAAATAATACGTAAATTGACTCATAACTTATACATGTTTTATTTATGTGGAATTGTAAAATGCCAACCAAACATTGTATTTGTTGTGCTAATTTTATACTAAGTAACTAAAGGCTACCAAACATGGTATTAATTATGCTACTTCTAATACATGAATAAATTACTCCCTAGTGTGTATGTGTCTGTGTACGTACTACTAGATAATATATGGTTAAGTAGATTGTATGATCTCTTCCTGTTATTTTGGTCTGCTCTTCTCCCTTCAACTAAAGTCTGGAAAAAATAGCAATCTTGAAAAGTCTTTGAAAAATCTGTTCAAGATTTCTATCAATGTTTTCATCTGTAGCCATTATGTGTTAGTAATTATATGGATAAGATGTAATTGCAGGTTCTTTTGTGACGTTTCTGGTATATGATCTAACTGAACAATCTTATTGATGCTTGCTGAATCTTCTGTTAAATAAAAGTAAAAGAAGTATTACTTGATCCCCAAAAATAAAAAGAAATGTAAAGGGAGCTTAAGTTTCTTATTCTCAGATGCACCTATTTTAAGTTATCAATTCTGCAGATCAGAGATCTCCAAAGGAGAACTTCAAGTACCTGAGTCCTTTGCGAGATCGTGCTTCTCCCAGCAAGCAACTGGTAAATGGGAATTTCAAGTACCTGAAGAACCTGCTGCTAAAGAATCTTGTAGATTACCGATTGGCTTTATTACAACAGGATTTGTTCGAGGAAGGTTAGTAACTTAAATGGTAATGCTGTATTGCATTGTAACTGTAGTATAATCTCAGATAAAGAAAATTTTAAATTGGAGGAAAAGTTAGTTTTTCGAAAGTTATGATCTGTTCTTTCATTTTGGCACTGATGAATTTATCCTGCAGCAAGAAGCCTGTCGCAGTGGCTCTTTGCGAGGCTGTCTGTCTTGCTCGCCTGAGAGAGGAACAGTGGAAGGCTGTAGATGTTAGGAAAAGAAGGAAGGAGATCTATGTCCTGGTTAGAAATTTAAGGTCCACCGCATATAGACTTGCTCTTGCTTCTATCGTCCTAGAACAATGGGAAGATGATTTGGAGTGCATGTGATTAGACGAGGGTTAATTAAGATTAGTAACAGGATTTATGCAGAAAACTCTCTCCCCCCACCCCCCACCCCCACCCAAAAAGAAAAAAAGGGGAGAGAAGTTGCAGTCTCATGTGTGAACTCTGATATGTATTTACCTTAAGATTGCACAATATTTATCCAAATGTTCAATGTCAACAAATTGAAGAGAGGAATTAGTCTAGTAGAAATTCTTGGGGAAATTTTATTACATTCTTTTGCTATTTTCTTCCTGTGCAACCCAAGCATTGATTTCGTCAGCTTATTTTTTTTTATCTTTTGTGTTATTAATAAACGGGAACAGAGCAGGATTTATTGTTGAAATGTTATTTGCTTCTTCATTTGAGATGGAACAGTGCTAATCAAAGAACAACCGAGAATAGCAATTATCTCCTGTTTAAACTCATAAATCCAATCACAATCACTATATCTGGTAGTCTGGTACTTCAAAGGAGAGAGGTTCACTGAGAAGCAATTTTTTTTTGTTCGTGGCCCCTTTTACGTTCAGTTTCATCTGTTGGATATTTGTTGTCATTTTGTTTTTTTCCATCTCTTTTGCTTTCTTTCTTTCACAAAATTTTCAACCAGTAGCAATGTTATCGTCCAATCAAAATATTTAATGTATTCGTAACCATAGTTCATTACTGGAAGATTCTGTCCAATCTGAAATATCAAGTTCTTAACGAGACAGCTGACACCACATTAATGCAGAATAACTCTGCTTGGATGCTAACTTGTTTCATTATCTTCTATTTTCTAAATCATATAACTTACACAAGAAAATCAATATCTTGTAGCTCTACAGGTAGTGTAACATTCCCATCTCTAATAGCCATCAACTCACTTGATTTCCCTTCCAAATAAGCTTCCAAAAATGCAACCAGAACCCCTCCAACAAATCTCCTCATTGGTTCTCTAGATTTCCCTTTCTTGCACAAACAATAAGTAGCCTTGCCTCTAATTCCTTTCGTTTCATCATCTAACATATCATTGTGTCCATAATCCTTTGCCACAAAGTAACAAGCTGGCTTGCAACATTCACGGTAGAAATTGCGATGGTTTACCCCATTGGGAGCACAAGCAGGGAATAGAGGGTTCTTTTTAACTTCTCCCAAACCCGAGCCAATTACCATCACTGCCATATCAAGATTGAAGGAATAAGGAGTATAGGTGAGAACTGATGGTGGAGTTTGTTTTCCTTTGTCCATGCCGTCAACAAGATCAACACCGATCAATGCTGAAAATTTCAGGTTAGTAGAAATATTAGCAATTTTTCCAAGAGCTAGCGCGAATGCAACTTTTCCTCCACGACTATGGCCTGCTAGTCCTAGTTTTTTTCAAGTTTGGCTCAACATCGGATGGAAGGTAATGGTCACACATCCAAAAATCACAACTTTGAGGAATATTAGTCGTTTCCACTCGCAGGTAACTGCTGCTTTCTTTTGTTTGGAATTCTATGTTCAGTGTTTACTTTGAGGCTGTAAATCATATCTAAGAGCTCCGAATTTCTACCTCATGTACCTTGAGTTTGCACTCTTTACATACAGTCAGTAGTTCCATTTTTTCCTGGCTTTGATTTTGTTATCAATAATATTATGGAAAGTTAGAATTTGGTGTTTCAAAGTTTTAGCCATCCATTGGCTTCTTTTTTCTTTTAGGTACTGGAGCCCTGTTGATGTGTATGTTGGTGGTGCTGAGCATGCTGTTCTTCATTTACTTTATGCCAGGTTCTGGCACAAGGTTAGAGCTCCGAATACACTTATTACAAATAAAAGGAATTCTCCCAGTTTCAAGCTTTGGTTGCCCCTCTTTAGCTACTGCAGATGTTGTCACTATTCCAGTTAATTCAAGTGAGCCATACATTTCTTCTTCTTCCCTTTGTCACTTGTTTATGGGTGATGAATCCCTTCGCTAACCTAAATTGGACTTCAATTAATTGTTAGACAAGCCAAAATGAAAAGAATCTTCTTCTAGTCTGAGTATACATGTGGAAAAATAGACGAGGTAGGACAGAGAAACCAAAAAAAGGTAAGTTACCTTCTCAAAAACCAAAAAAGGCTTAACAAGCAAGAGGAATGCCCACTTTTTTTTCTCCTTCAGAAGAGCAATTCAATTCACAAGAGCATGTTATATTTCTTCTCTAACATTTCTATTAAAAATCATGACTAGGTTCATTGTTGCAGGTTCTCTATGACATAGGTGTTGTGTCAACAAAGGAACCATTTAAGAGTGCCATAAATCAGGGCATCATCCTTGGTGAAGTAAGTTGATTTGCTTGGTCTTGAAAGTCCATGATTTCATTGCCTATCTTTAATGATCAAGTTGGCAGGTTCAATATACATCATCCAAAGATGACAAAGGAAACTTGATATCAGCAGACTCTGCCTATGAGCAGCCTGAGTACAACCAAGAGAAAATACCTGAGGAAAAGGTTTATTTATATACTGATTATGTGCAATTACTTAAATCTTTTAGCATCTTTTTATGTTAGTTTTAGCTTTCAGAATGTAATTCATCAGTTTGAAACTGTATTTTTGATGGTGAATAGGTCATGAAATATGGTGATTTCTTTGTATTGAAAGATAACCCCAATATTCGCTTGATTGCCCGAGCTCACAAGATGAGTAAAAGTAGGGGAAATGTCATCAATCCTGATGATGTTGTTTTGGAGTATGGTGCAGATTCTCTACGCTTATATGAAATGTTTATGGGTCCATTAAGGTGTGTCTCCTTATCTTTTGCTTTTCAAATTTTTTGTTTATTGTAATTAATATATGTACACAACCATTTCAAAGTTGTATCCGCACGGCATATCTTCTACTGCATAATGCACATCTTTATTATGTCCGATAGAGACTCGAAAACATGGAATACAAGTGGTATTGAAGGCGTGCACCGTTTCCTAGCAAGATCTTGGAGATTGGTTGTTGGTTCACCCTTGCCCACTGGTTCATATCCGGATGGAACTTCCATAGTTGATGCGAAACCTTCAATTGAACAACTTCGTTCTTTACACAGATGCATTGATAAGGTAGTACTACTTGTCATTGGTTATGGCTGGCATGTATTCTTTAGGATTGAATATTGTTGGAGCGTTAATGCTTTCCTGTTATTACACAGCAATCATTGATTTGCGAGTTGTTTTAACGTAACAGGTAACTGGAGAAATTGAAGGAACTCGGTTCAACACTGGAATTTCTGCAATGATGGAATTTATTAACGCAGCATATAAGGTGAATCTTCTCCTTTTACACTATCCTCATTTCTCCCTCACTGCTCAAAGAATAGGAAAAAAAGGAAAAGAATAGGGATATAAATTATTTTTTGTCTAAACTTTTGTCAGTCTGTTGGAGCATTTCTCAAGGAAAAGGGAAAAGTCATATCACTTCTATCTTATCAAATTTTCAAAATTGTCAAGCTTGGCAGGTTGAAAGAGCAGCTTAATCCAAAACTCTGATGTGCTTGCAAGAGTTAATTGCATAAGGGAAGAGATTTCAGTCTCCTCTTCTAGGCAAAGAAATACAAAATTGATGAACTACTCCCAAGAGGACTTCTCTAGCTCTTCTCATTCCCTGTTAAATTGAAATTTCCAATTGAATGCTTGTAGACTTCACTGACAAAAAAGGCTAGCCCGGTGCATTGGGCTCCCACTATGCACGGGTCCGGGGAAGGGCTGGACCACATTGGGTCTATTTTATGCCATCTTACCCGTATTTCCGCAAGAAGCTATTTAGCATATTCCTTGAAATGAGATCAAATTAGACACTTGAATTTCTTCCACGGAAAAATAAGGAAAATTAAGAAGGGAAACAGAGAGTGATGCTATATTAAACTCCTTGCAAGTTACCTGTTTCTGATAGCATTTGGACTAATCCTTTGGATCTCATGTTTTTAGTGGGACAAACTTCCGAGATCAATTATTGAAGCATTTGTTTTGCTGCTCTCACCATATGCACCTCACATGGCAGAGGAGCTCTGGTCTCGTCTTGGACACTCAAATTCCTTGGCATGTGAGCCCTTCCCTAAGGTGAGCTTTTCCTTGATCCTAGATTTTTACTCTGTATTCCTCTTTCCCCCATCCTGCCGTTCGGACAGACGACGGATCACTCGTCTTTTCTAGTCTTATTCTGTTGCTAAAGAAAAGGGAACTAAGTTACAAACATCCTACTAGAGAGCTTCTGTAAATACTTAGTCGTCCAGTTTTCTTGTAAAACTGCAGGAGTCCATTTTCAGCAAATATTCCACACAAGCAGGCTAAAATACATGTATTTTTGAAAGTTATGAATACTTACTGTTGTCTATAGTGGCCTCGAGAAACTAATTAAATTTATGGGATTACTAAAAGCTCATGAACTTCTTACTTTATCAAAAAGAAATAGAAGAAGCTCATGAACATCTTAAATCATTGGATTAAGTGAAGCGCTTGCTGATTACCGTTATAATGACAGGTTGATGCTGCATATTTAAAAGAGAGCACTGTAGTCCTTCCAGTCCAAATAAATGGAAAGACGAGAGGTACCATACTGGTTGAAGAAACATGCACAGAAGAGGAGGCCTTTAGATTAGCTTCACTTGATACAAAACTATCCAAGTTTTTGGATGGGAAATCTATTAGGAAGAGAATTTACGTCCAAGGAAAAATTCTGAACATTGTCATAGATGTACAGAAAAAGGTTAAGGTAGCTCAAGAAAAGCTGATACAATGCCTGGAATCCCTATAAGTTATGTTGTTTCATAAGTGTTGATGGATTAACAACTGTGGAGTTGCAAGCAGCGATGGTTTCTGTACCATAATTCATTTGTTGTACATTATTGTTAGAGGACAATAAGCTCCCGGGCTGTGGAAGTGGAATAGGCTCTGTTGTATAGTAGAAGAGAGAAAGAGGGGTCTGCGGAATTGCTTAATCTATTAGTTTGTGTAACTTATGTTCGTTGTTGTACCATTGTATTTGAATACGCTGTTCTTGTATTTATATATTAAGGTTTCTTCACAGAAACATCATAAGTCACAGCTTCAGTGAACATTGTTTCATTTTGCAAGGATTGTTAGTTACTTTTCCAAATGTTTTCAAGTGGCTTTGTACCCCTCCGCTCACCCACGGTTCATTTTCATTTATAGCAGGACAATGGCGGATGTAGCAGCCGATAGCAGATGCACTACTGTTGCCTTCTAGATGAACTATACATTTATATAAGAAACATTTATTTATTTTTTCTAGATACTCATATAACTTTTTGCTTTTTGTTTTGGTTTCCCATTTGGTGTTCGATAATCAAGTCCCACTTTGTAGGTAAAAATTAACTCATCACGTCTCCATTACCCAAGACTTGAACTCGAGACCTCTGGCAAAAAGACTTTAGCTACAACTCTACTAGGGAAGAAGCCTCCATGTTCTCATGTCTTAATTTCCCCATTTTAAATAATGGAATCGTCTCGCTTACTTCAGTGGTCGGTTCCAAACTCATCCAATTTTACTTGTGGTGACGATTTGTGCATGTGCTTCCATTGAACTCTTGACAGATTTCAGAATTTCTCCTAATTCCATGAGGGGGAAAGTATCTAGTCTTAGATGTTTACTGTTGGAATATCTTCAATTTGATATTTCTGATTCAGGATTTTATAAAACTACTCTAGTATTTATGCATGTGCGTTTGCATAAGGTAGTAACAATATGGAGTACATTGTTTTTACCATTTTCTATACAATGATGTTTGTTGATTTAGAAACATTTCAATTATAAAGTGTTGACAAATCGAAAAATACCATTGTTATGCACCTTCTTACAAAATTTATGTTCAGTTAGAAAATTGATATTGTCTAATTATAAAATAAAAAAAATTAAAAATTACGATTGCTTGGAAATAACTCCACCTATATATGCTTCTCGAAAGTGAACATAAAAGTAGTCTAATTAGGAATCTTTGAAGTAATTATGTTAAGGAATTTTGTTTGATTGAGATATTAGCTCAATATTATTATTATTTTAAATAATACTTTTTATTCTCCAATTTTTAATCATCGAAATCACAATTGTGTGACAGATGGGAGAATTGTAGGCCAAGGACCATATTGTTGTTGTATTGATGAATAGTTACGACTTTAATTAGGCAGCGAATGAGGATTGAGGAATACGATCATTGCTAGGCTGCGGGGGGAACGACGTCGTGAGTATCACCCCGTTGTTTGTTTGTGAGACAGCTGTGCAACAAAGGAACAAAACAAAAAGGCAAAGCAAGATACTCGTAATTTGGTCGTGAAAAAAGAAAGAAGGAAAGAGCAATTGGTGTCGTCTCTCAACTGCTTCTCTCCCTTCAACCGCCACCTCTTCAATGTACAGTTGTACACGCACATAAATATACTTATTCAGATAGACAAAGTACAATTCTGATGCAAATTTGAATTGTTTCAATTTCAGGAGGAGAAGGAAGAAGAGGAGGAAAGAGTATTCAAACCTATGAAGAAGATTTCGGCGGCGGCGACCGCCGGAATGTCAGTGCGAAACGTCTTGTGGTTGTGGTGGAAACTGGTGGTTATAGTTTCTCTTACTCTTTGCGTCTTAGCTTTTTTGAAGCTCCAAAGCTACTCTCTTTCCGATTCGGAACTTTCTTCTTCTATTTCTACTACTTCTTCAATTTCTCGTAGATCCCGAGCTGTTGAATATAGCGGCAATCCTAAAGTTGCTTTCCTTTTTCTAGTCCGTCGCAATTTGCCTCTCGATTTCCTTTGGGGAAGTTTCTTCGAGGTCAGCTGATTTTTCAATTTTTCATAATTCATTAAGCTCCTTAAGTGAAAATTCATCTGTTTTTTAATTTACTTGTGCGTAATGGTTGTTTCAGAATCTGAATCAACTATTTTTCCATAATCTCTTTGGTGTATGCAGAATGCAGATACCGGTAATTTCTCGATATATATACATTCGGAGCCAGGTTTTGTGTTTGATGAGTCTACTACAAGATCGCCTTTCTTCTATAATCGCCAATTGACTAATAGCACCAAGGTACGCGGTGTTACTTGCTAACTCTGTTGCTACATTTGTAATAGAAAAAGAAATTTTTATCTTCATTGTGTTATCTTTTAGTATTTTCTTGTAATCCAAGTGATTTCATTTCTTAGTGACATGAGCTTTTCATGCCAGTTCATTAATTCCTCTAATTTGTTGGTTTTTTAGATTCAAGACCTTAAGTTCTTTTAGATTATTCTTGCACCAACCTAGAAACTATTTTTGGTTTTTGGTAATCCATCCACTCCGATTTATATGGCACTCTTTCTCTTTTTCAACGTACCAAATTGTTTGACAATATTCCCATATTCTATTTCTATTTTGTACAACTTTCATGACTCTTAAAAATTCTGTATCATTTGACTTATTAAATTTAATCTTTGATGTGATGTTTCCTGTATCAGATAATTCTCATCTGACAGTGTAGTATTATTAATTCACTTCCCTTTGCTCTTTCTATCACTTTCATACCTTTACCAGATTGATATTAAGATTGACCTGTAGGTAGCCTGGGGAGAATCAAGTATGATCCAAGCTGAGAAATTATTACTTGGGGCAGCGCTTGATGATGCAGCCAATCAAAGATTCGTTCTCCTGTCGGACAGGTCCTTTTTTTTTTACTTAACAAAGACTGGATGTATGACATCTCTCAGATAAGTCTGTGTAGGTGGCTTCTTAGTGTTCATGCATGTGCACTGTTGATGCATGACATGATCAGCAATTGCTTCAGATATTGGTTACCATCTGCCCTCCAACTGCGTTTTTATACTTCCCCTTTCTCGTGCACCCCAATTTACTTGATTCTTTCCCTTAAATGGAAAAATCTGCTGTCTTTTTAAACATCCTTCCTATTATTTTGAAGTTTCTTTGTCGACCAATGTCTATACATGCATTCTTTTTGAGTATATATTTAACTAAGAGGAATTCTTATATTGGTCATCTCAAACTCATTTACCTATTCATACCTTCTGTTTTGTTAACTCACTGCTCAAAACCGGGTCATCTGAATTGCATTGGAGGCAATATTAATACTTGTGTTAGATATCAAGACTCCAGTAGAGCTATATGAATTTGGGTTCCAATTGAACAAGAAACAGTTATATAACTTTTCTAGACATGCGTAGCACAGATGCTTATCATCATTACTATGTTGCTTAGACATGGATATCGTTGGATAAGAACAAGACACGTAGGGCAAATCGTCCAGTATGCAGTTGCACTTGAGACTAAGTGTCTATGCAACCTATCTTCTCGGCTTCTCGTCAGTGAATCATGAGAGCGCATATATCAACATGTAGTGTCTTTCAATTTTTTATCCTGCATTTTCCTTCTGTTTATTTCACCCAATTATTGAGTTATGGGTGTGCCCTGTTGTTAAGATTCTTTTTTATTTAATTGTGTAATGGTTGATGTTGCAGCTGTGTTCCACTGTACAACTTTAGCTACATATACAACTACTTGATGGCTTCTCCAAGGAGCTTTGTTGACAGGTAGATTGGATATAGATTTTTCTTGTTCTTTTCTTTCCTTCTGCAGTGAATCACCCCCTTAATTGGGTTCAGGATTTGAGGAACTGGTTTGATTACCAATCAGTTATTTCACATTCTCATATTAGTAGCATTAACTGTAAATGATGAGGTTCTGCTTGTCTTCCAGTTTTCTTGATAAAAAGGAAGCCCGCTACAACCCAAGGATGTCACCCTATATACCAATGAGCAAATGGCGAAAAGGGTCACAGGTAATTGCCCCTCCATCTCAGTTAAATGGGGATTTACATACTGATAGGGCCTTGTCAAATTATTGTACAAGAACATCATTGTTGCGCTAACCTTAACTGTGAAATTCATTAACCTATTTAGCTGCGCTAGTGGCTAGGAATATAATAGAGTATAGGCGTGTAGACAAGCTGGGTGTGGCAACTTGGTTCTCCTCTTGAAGGTAACAAGAGAAACATTCTTAGCCTTCAGCCTAGATCTTTTTCTTTATTAACTTTTTGGTGCAACTTGGCCTTTGTGGAGGACACAGATGCCTTGTTAGATATGATTATGGAATTTCACAACTTGTAACTTTGTTTTGTCGCACTAGCTTAGTGCTGATCCTTTTCTAATAAAATTCCTTATTACTTATTAACAAAAAGAAGGCAAAGACGAGAAGCACTTACCGATTCCTACAAAATGGAAAAGGATGTACAGAAGTGAAAAGAATCAGGAATCAAAGAGGTCTGTGAAAAAACTTGTGCATATACAAACAACAACAACAACAACTATGCCTTAGTCCCAAATCCCGACTTCTCCATTTAAGCTCAACTAAAAGCACCTATAAATTTGAAATATGTCAACCTATATACTTAACTATTACAAGTTTAAAGATCTTTCTCAGAAGGGAATACCCACCAGCTTGACAGTCTTTGTTGAAATCGCGCCTGTGGATAAAAGAATTAGTTAGCCTCTACGTGAACATACACCCCATAAAATTTCTTCTTAACTTATAGCATGACTGTCTATCAATGTGAGGGGCATTGATTATTTTATCCAAAAAAAAAAAGTTAGAGGGATTGATTGGTTTTGCCTGATAAAATGTTTTCATCACCTATTAATTGTAAATGTCGTTCTCAAATTTCAATGAGAAGAAATATTCTTTTTATTGCTGATATTTATGTGCGCCCAAGTTATTGTTACTCTTTAAAAGTCATCTTTAGTTTCTGATTAAAAAAAAGGCACCTTTAGTTTCATTCAGCAGTTCTTTCTCCTTTTAAAGTTCCAAGTAGTTTTTATACCTTTAACCAATCTATTCTTAAATTGTCGAAGCTCGGGTGTTTTCATAAGATTATATTATCTCAAATCAATACAATATGCTGTCTGCTTTGCATGAGTGGTGACATGACAGTGTGATTCATTATTATATGCTTCTATGAGTTTTGACTTAACATTTTAGTCCAGTGGATCACTTTAATCAGGAAGCATGCGGAAGTGGTTGCAGATGATGATGCTGTCCTTCGAGTCTTCAAGATGTTCTGCAAGGTTCATATCATGTGCTCTT